AATAATGAAAAGATCTGCTTTCATAGTGGGAATGATGGACCTTTTGGAGCCGATTCACTGACACGGAGCAAAGGCGAATTGCAAACTGGTTCAAATGTAAGTGGGAATGAACCCCCAGTGGGTTCCATGGCTGAGCAGGGAATCAAATCCTGGTCTCCAGAATTATAGTCCAACACTCAAACCGCTATACCACATTGCCTCCGTCCATGTAGGATTGTAGCTTTAATAAAATCAGCATTCCCAGATCTTCATAAATATCTATATCACAGTAATTATACTTGAGTAGAACAGACTGAAATGGTATATCATTACAGGTATATCTCAGTTAACAAAGTAGATGTGTTCCTGGGCTTTGGTTCTTTAAGAGACACTTTGGTACCAGAGAGGAAAATAATGCAGAAAAAACAGGGATAGGTTCCTACACCACGAAAAATAAATGCATTTCAACATGTTTCAGAAAACCTGCTACTCAGAACTAACATTATGTGAAATGGAAAAAAAACAACACACCAAAGTCAAGTGAGTTTTGCATAAATAAACAAAAACATTTTGACTCTTCTAGAAGTCACATGGAAGCCTCTTTCAAAATATATCCCAAGATGATGTTTTCCTTTCAACAGCCTCCACTTTTGATTTCCCTTTTGGTGTTGAAACTTATAGATCTCTGCTTTCTCAACATGCTAGGGTGGCTGGTGAGGCAAGCTAATTTGCTTTCCCCTTTTCTTTCTGTTTTGCTCTTCACACATGCTCAGAGCGTAGCCACAGTGCAGAAATAATCCAGTTGGACATCACCTTAATGGCCATGATGCAATGCAATGGAATTCTGAGATTGGTAGTTTGACGAGATATTTAGCCTTCTCTATCAGAAAGCTCTGGTGCCACAGCAAACTACAAATCCCAGAATTCCATAGCATTGAGCCTCAATAGTTAAAATGGTGTCAAACTGGATTTTTTTCTGTATCGTGGATGCAGCCTCAGTAAGTGATTCTGGAGGTAGCTGTTTACCTTGCCTGTTGTATGTAAACACATGGCGCTACAGTAGAATTGCCTAGAGTAGAATCCTATTCTTTCCCAGGTCAAACTTTATTGCATTGTTTACTGCAGACATACTGCTGCAGCCAAACACAAAAGGTCTGTCTTTCTTCAGCCCTACCACATTGTCCCAATGAGAATTCTGCAATAAACAGGCAAAACATGTTTGGTGTTGGAGGAGCAAGTTTGTGTATAAATCCATTCAGCAGAGTTTAACTTGCAGCAGAGAAAACACCATGCAGAGCAATCTCCAAGCTTCTAGCAGAAGGCTTTATTATAGAAAAACATATGCAGAGTAAAAACTATGAAGTCCAATAAATCATCACATCAGGCAGATGTGGCTATCAGGAACAAAACTACAAATCCTTAATGGTACATTGTGAAAAAGTTAGTCATGCTATAGCTCCAACAAAAATAAAGAAAACTTAATCCATACTAATGAAAGATCAGGAACAGACTAACTTCTATGCCTGATACACAATTTTCTCAGCCCACCCTTTCTCCACCTCTTGGGTGTTCACCTCAGGTTAATTGGTTGTTGTGTACATGACGTATGTTAACCCAACCTTTTGTTGTTCATCCTTTACCATGTGATCTACTTTCTCATAACAACTTGTATTATTGTTTCCACTGTGTAAACAAGAACACTTTCCCATCTACTCCATCTTGTGGTTTCCATTTTGTTTTGTCTCTTTGGACACCTGGACTGAGTTGTTGTGTTTGGCCTAGAAGCATGTTCTCATGGAAAAAATACAGACACACACATCTTTACATTTCACCATTGACTATATATCCCATCAATACTCTAACAAAACAACCCCAAACCTTCCAGCTAGACAGAAAACAAGAAATGGAAGCTAGGTTGGGCTGCTGTAAAAAGTCTTTGTCTTTCTCAGAGGCTTTGTTAACTGAGGTATACCTGTACTTTCAAACATTACTTTAACTGTCCAGTATTTAATTAAGCTTGAGCACCTTAGAGCACTGTGCATTTAATAGTGGTTTATAAGGATAACAATATATAATTACAATAATAGTACATCAAAACTCATTCAAAATTCCCAGACCTAGATCTTCATTTATGCTGATAGATTAAAGGACAGGTTTTCATCCCATAATTATTTCCCATAGGCCGTACAATTTTTTTGTAATTACAGTACAGTAATTACTAGAATTAGAAAAGCTGGTTTGCCCTCCAGTTAACCACATTTTCATAACACTTGTAATGAATAATGACTCTGAAAGTGTTAAAATGATTGCAAATCTTGCCCTCCCATAATATCTTTCGGCTTGCTCTATGTTTTGATAACATGTTAAATTAATTTACTTATCTCTGTGATATTATCATTTTCCCACACAAGAATATTTCATCAATAAGTTGTGAGTAGAAGTAAAACCAGCACTTAATCTAGATTTGAACTTTGTCCATATCTGATATGTAGTCTTGTTTCCTACTTTTGTTGCCCTTAAGTCTTCATTGTATGATTGTTTTTAGAACTGCTTCTCTGTGTTTTTAACTTTAATTGATGATTGCAAATTACACTGGCATTTTGAAATGAAAGACAGAATAGAACTGTCCTAAATAAATAGAAATATTTCAGGTTGCTCTCCTATCTGAAAGCAATTATGCTGAATGTACTGGCACTTCCATTTGAACAAACTTAGGCAGGACTACACTGTCTTATAACAGATATTTTTTAAAAGAAGCAAACATGCTCCCTTTTCTAGTATTAACAATCATGTTTATTTTACATTCTTCATCATAGGTATATTATAATATCCTTTGACTTCAGGGAATAGACCTCCTTATGGGTGGGATTCGGGATTTTATGTTCTGTTTAATGGATAGAAATTGCAGTGTTGTAAGCCTCCCCGATTGCTCTGCAGAGGGGCGGGATATAAATAAAAATTCTTATTCTTATTCTTATTTGTCAGCTGCTAACCTAGGTAGCTTTTCTAGAGGCTCTTTCAAATATACACTTAAGCAAAGATGTAGGATTTCTTGTCCTTGCTGAGATGCAAGTGGACTTTAAATTTCCAGACTTTGAAAATCTCCCAGTTGCCACATGGCCAGAAGGAGGAGGAGCCAGCCTGCAAGAGATGCCCTTCCCATACCATCTTAACTAAGGACAGAAACAACAAAATGCAGGCATCTTACTAACATCGCCAAGTTTTCTCCTGTTTGGTTTGTAATCTCTTGTCACGCACACTTTTTCTTTCCTTTCATTTGTGGCCACACCATGGACCCTTTTCGTCCCACAGCTTCTACCACCCAATGCAAAGAGCCACTCCTTCACCAACCCTCTCTTCTAAAACTCTTAGGTATAACCTATTTTGTGTAAGGTTTAGTAATGTGGATATTCATTCACACTGTAGACAAGTGTTTCATAAAGTAACAACAAAACTTTATTTACAATAGAAATAACATTGTTTCACTTGGTCTTGCTGCACTTGTTATAACTGGCTATAGTTACACATAATAATACTTTAAGACACTCCTTTCCTTGGAATACTTTCAATTATCCCCACAGGAGACTCTTACCCCTTCTTTGGATACCTTCACCACTATTTCTTAACCAGCTTCTAAGGCAGGGGTAGGCAACCTTTCCCCTTTAAGGGCCGAGGGACTTCAGCTCCCAGAAGCCTCAGCCATGTTGGCCAATAGTCCCATGTTGGCCAATAGCTCCTGGGATTCTGGGAGCTGAAGTCCCTCGGCACTTATAATAATAATAATAATAAAGTTTATTTGTATCCCGCCCATTGGTAATCCAATCCGGGCGGCTTACAGTTAAAACATACAGTTCACAATAAAACATACAATATGAACAAACCCCCTCCCCCCATTAAAACAGGATTAAATTAGAACAATATAAAACAACAATTCAATTTAAAATATTTAACCATCCAGCCCAGTGACTCCAAAAGCCTGGCTCGACGATCCTCCCATCACTTGATGGGGCCACGATCTAATATGACTAGTCTGGAAAGGGGAAAGGTTGCCTACCTCTGCTCTAAGGCTATCAATAGCCCTCAGGATATTCTCTTTATTAACTCCCTCCCTTGGAGCTTAGTATG